TACAGGACAGAGACTAGAGCCATTAAAGACGAGAAAAAGAAGGGAAGGTAAGGGAAAGGGAACTGGGCCCATGGGGCGATGGCGATAGCCAATCTGCTTCGGCCGCCGGCTGGCTTCCGTTGCCGGAATGTGGTGACAATGTCTTCTTGGGCTTTTCTCCGCCTCTCTACCTTTTGGCTTAGGCTATTGGCTTTGCCTTTGGCTTTCAGCATTGGCTTTTCCTTCTTCTGGTTTGTGTTTTTTTTTTGTTGTTGCTGTTGTTGTTGCCACAGACAATTGCATTGTTGTTGCCTCCTTGGACGTTGTCGCAATGCTAGTAATTTGTGCAAATGAGCCTCTAAAAAGGCGTGGAGCCTTTAGGAAAATCAAGAGAGGTGGAGCGGTGTAACAGCGAGGGCTATCAGGGATACAAAAAAAAACCGAAATAGACAAAAAAATGTTTAAAGCGCCATTCGGCTATGTAAACGATGTGGGTCCCGCCGAAAATGAACAAGAAAGGAAAGCTGTTAAATGTTTTTCCTACCCATTTTCCAGTGCTTCGTTTTCAGATTTTTGTCATAGTTCAAATGGTTTGCCTTCTTTTTTCCATGTTTTCATGCTACTCCAGCAGTAAAATGAAATGACAATACCGTTTTGGCTTTAAATGTTAATTGAGTGGCCAAACCTTAGACTTTTAAAGCCACAGAAATCCGCACATTAAACGGCATCACATAGCCTCCCCATTCAGACTAATCAACGCGAGCACGTGCTCTATAATAGTAAATGCCAACAAAAGGCAACCAAAAACAGATAAATTATAGACGCCCAACGAAACCATAAAAAACTACGCACAAAAAGCGAACAAAACGAACAGAAGAATCAGGCATTTCAGGCTAACTATTTACTATGCCTACTCTGACGTTTTGGCGTCGTTATCTGCGAAAAAATTAGCAGAGGCCCCCGAATCAAAATAAACCGAAAGTAAACATTAGCCAGAGGGAATAAAACACGAAAAAGAAAGAATGGTAAAAAAAAACTCACGCATACGGCCATAAATGGGGTGATAAAGCGGCCGGCTAGATGAGGAGGCCGAAAAACACGCCTGCGCCATTGAGTTAGCAGCCACTTTCCCTCCCTACCTCACTTCTCGTTTGAAAAAACCCCCCAAAAATACGCACACATTTTACTGTTACGCACAGCCGCTTCTCTTTTTTTTGTTGCGATTTAATGCCGCTTATTTCACCTGCAAAAATGTCGGCGTTTTGGCTGTTTGTTTTGTTTACCCCACAAATTTCCGTCTGGTTTCGCTGGCGCTACTTGGCTTTGAGGCCACATCCCCAAAAGTCGGGCTTTTGTTTGCTTAACTCAATTTTATTGTTCGTTTCTTTTTTCGATTTTTTCTTATTTTTGCAAAAAAAAGCGAGCGCGGGAGAAGAGGCAGAAATTATGTGTGTCAGCTGCGGGCAGGGCTGAAACCTCCAAATTAACAGGGACAACAACAATCAAAAAGAGGTCGCCTTGTTTAAATAAAATAAACAAATAAAAAGCCCAACAACAGCAACAAAAGGCGAATTTAAAATGCCAAAACCATGGCATATGGGAAAAACTCCCAGAAGCGGGGGAGCAGCAGCATTGACTCACCTCACGCAATGCTAAAAAACAGAAACTAACAACAATATTGCCACCTTGAAACAACAACAGCTAAAAACAATCCCAGGCACTTGTCTGATTTTCGGCCTGTCCAAAAATAAAATCAAAATAAAAAACAAAAACACAAAATTCGTCTGGCAACGTCATGGGCAAATTATAGTATAAACTAAAAAAAAAAAAACAAATCATAAAAAACGAAACAAAAATATAGGCACAAAAATATTGAATAATAAAAATGTGTAAGCATGTGTGCGGGTATTTGATGATTTGTTTTGATTTTTTTTTTTATTTTTCTTCAGTAAATGGAAAGATTTGCTGAATATATAGCGCATACGCACTGTGGCCGTTTGAAAACTGGTTAAATTTGTGAAACCCAAACGCTTCCTGTCTGAACGTCATAAAAACCAAAGAAAGATAACCTCTAACCATCGATGGGTTTCCATTTTTTTTTCGCCCAAAACACTTGTCATTACACGATTTTCTTTTGTCCAAATTGTATTTACCTTCAGTTTTCGGTTTCTTTGCCTTTCGCTTTGGTTTTCTTTTTGGAACGAACATTTCCGCTTTTGTTGTTGCTGTTGACATTGGCTTGAATAAGCGCAGATATGTGCCATAGAATCTTGGCCCTTATCGTGCAAACTGATAAGGCTAAAAGCTCTTTCGCAGACCTCAATGAAGTTGGGGGTACAAAAACCATACAAAAAAAAAATAGAAAACAAAACCGTCCGCCTCTAATCACAGAAATCAGCCAACGACTTTGGTTCTTTTTGTTCGTTTTTTATGTTTTTTTGGGTGAGGGTGCTTTTGTATTTTGCCTGCGTATAAATTACACTTGAAAATTGTTTAGATTTTGATTGGCGATATCTGAGGGGCCATTTTTTTTTCTGCTTTTGTAAAGTCAGACCATGGAGTCGCTTTGTCTCCGATTAACTTGCGCACTTGCGCTTTCCCTGAGCAATTTTGGTGAAAGTTTCCCGACCCAGGCGGAGTAAAGCACTCAAAATCCCCAGAAAAACAAAAGCGAATCTCGAGCACGTGGCTAATTCAATAAGCTTTAATTGCAAAACAACCGAACAACAAACTGCAAACCGCACCGAAATCAAGTTGAAATGTAGCTGCAGCCAACGAATTTCATGCAATTTTCAACTAATTTCCCCGCCACATGCAAACAACCGACTGACTCTCTGGGCATATCATATCGCATCTCTTACTTCCTGACACTGCAATGTAATTTTGCTTTCAACACCTCTTTTCTTTTCCAACTTGCTGCGACTACGACTACTCGCCTGCTCGACTGTTCGGCTCCACGACTGTTGACTGTTGATTGCGGCCAGCAAACGTGGTCAAATAATGGGCCAACACACAGAGCAAAGAGTGCAGAAAAAGGAGCTAAAAGCCAGCATTTCCCAGGCTCAAAAGCCAAAAGTCTGGCCCCGAAAAATCGGGCGCGAATATATCGCATTTCAATCACGCGCTCTGGGGCAATTTACGTGCGGCCACGCAGCAGCCGCAACAGCGAGTAGGCCGAAAAGAGCTGGTCAAAAGGCAGCATCAACAATGCAACATCAACATTGCAACTGGCAACTTGCAACTTGCAACTGCCGCATGCAGTTTATTAAAGTTTTTCCAGCTCAGCGCAATGGGGCGGAAAGCAAACGGGCTAACGGTACGGATTGTGCGCATTAAATGGCCACATCGTGATGGCCAGGCCAAAAGCCCCCTTGTTTCTTTTCCATCAGGCACGCGCCTTTTGCCGGCCGGCAAGCTTACAAACCAAAAAAAAAAAGAAAACGGAACGGAAAGACTTTGGAAAAACAGCACTGATTCTCCACGGCTCTAGGAAATGCGCGATTTATGCGCGAATTTACTTTTATGCGATTAGCAACGATCTGCGGCAGAAATTTATCGTTGAGTTTAGTAAATTTAATTGGGACGGAAATCCAGGCAAAAGGTGCTAGTGCCAGTGCTAGTGCTAGGCTATTGCCGTAGCTAGTTGGGCATTAGACAAAAGGCTAAAACCAGGTAGCCAGGTAATAAAGTTTTACGACTGAGGAAAGGAGCCTGCATTCGGCTAAGTGCAGTCTTGGCCACGAAATGCCCGAGGCTTTTGCTGTTGCTGCTGATGCTGATGCTGCTGCAGTTGCCGTTGTTGCAGCACAATGGAGATGGCTGAAATGCGCCGGCACGAGTTGTGTTTTGTGTGCATTTGGCCGAAAGCAGATGGCCGGAAGATAACAGAGATGGGCACCAAAGGGAGTTGTGGTTCTTCTTGGGATGCTCTACCAACAAATAAGCCGCTTAACTCTAAGCATCAATAATTGCTCGCTGCACTAGCTGCTCTCCACTCTTCTTCCACACCAACCATTTCGAAGCATAAAACACTCCAAAGAAACCGGCACCTGCCATACCCCGAAAAGCTTAATTCTGGCACGCAGCAAGTGTTGGTTGCAATCCCTTTTTCGGTCTTGGCCATGGTCATGACGACGTCTCAATAGCTGGCATTTGGCTCAATGATTGGAGAAGAGGTGTGGTGGAGTGAGGTTAGCAGCAGCACTCTGGTTGATTATGATGGCGATGGGGTATTATGCCAAATCAGTTTTTCCGTTTCAAATGTTTTGAATTTATGACAGTGTCGCGTCTTTATGGTCATGCCACCACCCGTCCGCCTCCCACTCACCAATCATTGGATGCATTTAAGGACCTAGCCATTGTCGCCGGCTGCCTTTGTTCAGAAATTTATTTGAGCTTCGCTGTTCCTAAGGACTTTTCACTGATTTTAGTTGGCCAGCGAAGGTTGCATCAAGGTTAGCGCTTAAAGCTAAAAGTTGCATGGAAAAGGCCAACGGATCTGGGAAATCTATGTTGACTGGCTGGCTGACTTCAAAAATGTGAGGTCATAGGAAGGAGGCCAATTAATGACGAAACAATAACATACAACGGCGGAATTTCAGTGGCCACAGAAATTAGTTAAATGGAAAAATAGTTTTGCGATGTTTTGCATTGAAATGCCGCTCGAGGCGATTATCGTTGAAAAGACCTCGCGGCATTGTTGTTGTGCAAATTACAACTATGGGCGGTCGCTTTGATGTGTGTGTCTGTCTCAGCTGAAGCTATAGCTAAAGCTGCCGATGCCTGCGTGTCTATATCTTTATCGGCCAGTTTCTAGTCTCTATATGTAGATGAATGCCTGTGGGGGTGGCTGATAAAATCAACAATCAAATCTGGGTCAATGCTAAAAAGCTGGAATTGATTTGCCACTGAAATGTGATACTGGCAAATCTGTTCTATAGGAAACTAGGCAGTCTTGATGCTTAACTCTATTCTACAAACTTTACTAAACAAACTTTCTTTCTTGTATCTTTCATTTTCAGTCCCCGGAAACGTCCGCCCAGCGATCAGCAGGACTACAGCAACTATGAGGAGACATGCCGTGCCGCTGAGATTCTGTCATCGATGAAGCTGCAGAGTCCGCATGGCTGTAGGTCATCTTCCTGCCCCCTGAACCTGCCCCATCCCCCATTTTTAGCCATCGCCTAATTTATTTTACCAATTCCCCAGCAATGGCCGACAAATGCTCGAGTCCCGGTAGCAGCTCGTCGGCATCCTGGAGCTCCGGTTCCGCATCGCCGCCCCTAAGCGACGACGGTCACGCCCACCACAGTCCACACAACATAATGTCGCCACACGATGCGGCCAATGCACGTATACGCACAACATCCGTGTCCACATCGGACGAGGGCATAGTCCTCGACTTCAAGGAAGAGCGCAAGAAAAAGGTAAGCAATTCTATCCACAACTTATAGTACTTAAAATCTATCTAGATCTAGAGCTAGATCTAGAATAAGAATGTAGATATTATGAAATGCGGTCAGAGGAATCGGGGCATGACATTTTGTTGCATTTTAATTGCAACTTTGTGTATAGATTTTAATTGCTATAATTATGTAAATGTCGGCTTGTTCTTGGCACGGCCACACGGCGTATGCTTGATGCATAAAATGCCGCCCAGATCGCCCATTACCCATTACTCATACGCAATACGCAAAGAAATAAATATAAAAATTACAGACAGAAAAAAAAAAGCCAAATAAATGTCGAAAATTTCTCGCCTAGAGGAGAATGCCAGCGCATCAATCACACAAAAGGGCAATGTCAGCAGCTCGTTAGCTTGGCAAACACACACAGTCCATACAGTCGCTCAGTTCGTACAAAATCAATAACCCCACAAACGAAAACCATTCCAGACATACACACTGAGAAGAGCTGGCTCTTTAATTAATTATGTTTGAACTTTAAGGGCCGCAAACCCGAAATCGAAAACCAAAAACTTACGCAACCGAAAAACAGAAATCAACGCCCACCCCTCTCACGCCCCTTGAAAACAGAACAAAAAATATTACAGAAAACTTCTGCCGTAACCAGCGGACAAGTCTGCCGTTTGTTTGCCCAACTAGTTACGCTTTTTCGCCAGCTCGTGTGTTTGGCTATTTCGTTTAGAGCTTTTAAGGGCTCTTAACAGCAAACACACAAAAACCTAAAAACGAGCAGCCGTCAACGACAGCAACAACAACAACAATAAGAACAAATATCGAAGTGAACAGCGGCAGCGGTAGAATATGTTAACCTTGAAAGTCTGATTAGATTTTCATATGGTGGTTATATGTTTTATTTACACGACGTCAAGCCCAAAATACACTGAAAAAGGTTTCTAATGAGAAAAATAATTTGAATAATATTTCGATTACTAGAAAATATATTCATCTTTGTTAACTTTTGATTATTTTTTATATATAAATTAAATATTTGTAAAAAAGTTTGCCACTGACTAAAAAATATGAAAAATCAACAAAAATGATATACAGTTTTTAAGCTAATACTACGTCTGTTTAGAATACCTAATGATCAATCGTTTAACCGAAATGACTCATCGTTAGGATTGAATATATACCTATAAGTGGCTAACTCTCCATAACAACTTGACTTCTCGCCCAAGTCCAATCAATTTTCCATTCATTTCAATTAGTCAAACGTTTTCGAGTCTCTGCTGCTAGCCAGCAGCAATTGCACTTTCACTTTCCATACCTGTTGCACAACCAAGCCGAAAAAGCTGACCAAAAGCGTCAAACTTCCTGCTCCGTCAGTCTGTGTCAGTTTTTCCCCCAAACAAAAAATAAAAAAAAAAAAAAAAACAAAAAAAATTATATGCGAGTATCTATGGCCAATGTGCACACCCCATTTGAATTTATGTCAGAGTCAGGCGACCACGCCTCCCGCCCCACTGCTTTTCGGGGGCTGAGCTGGAAAAACAAACAGAAAAAATGCACAAAATGGAAACACAATGGAAAAGTTTATTTTGCCAAGGCGTGGCTGGTTAATTGAAAAGATATATGCCGCATTTCCGCATCTTGCATCTCGAATCTAGCTGTCCAGCGAAAACACAAGCCAGCTGGATGGCTGGATATACAAAGATATAGATATATAGATAGATAGATGGATAGATGTACGATCTGGCGGGCTGAGAACGAATGCAATTAATGTCTAATTGTGCGCAATTATTGTCAGTTGTCAGGCCGTGTGTGTGTGTGTGTGTGTGTGATGTGCCGCATCAGAATGCACTCGCCCCGAATTGAATTGAAACGAAACGAAACGATTGATGGAGATCTTCAAGGCGGCCACGTGGCGCATACGTAATTCCATCCAGCTGATATTACTCATACGCACTGTTGCGCGTGCGGCTCTTGCTAGATGCATCCAAATGATTAACCTTCATCAAGCTCAAGCCCATAACGTCATGCGAATGAAATGGAATGAATTAAACACCATGAGGGTCGACTCATTTCGAAGTTTCTGCCTTTTGTGGCCTTTGTCTCGTTTCGGATCGTCATCACCGCCATCGTGCGGGTTATTATTTAAAATGCAGATTTATGTGCATTCACCATTTGCCATTTAACATTTACCATTTACTATTTACCGCCACCCGTGACAATCAGGGCCAACGAAGCTTGAGCCGCTCCTCCTTCTCCACCCCACCGCCTGCCTTTTAATCAAGGCCCTTTTGCAATTGCACTCCCATTAAAGGCAACGCTTCAAGGCGATCCCAAGTTGCAACCCCCAACCGCAATGGGTGGTTAAACGTTAGCCCATTAATTTCCAAGCACGTGTGGGTGGCCGGGGAGTAACATGGAGGAGTTCGCGATGGCCGTCAAAAGGAAAGCTCGAGTGGGAAGGCCACAAGTCAATCCTGGAGGGGAAATTAAAACGCAAACTGCAACGATGGCATGTGACAAGCAATCAGAGCCAGCAATTTGCGGTGACAAACTGTTGAAAAAGTGACTGACTAGCTTCGAATCGACAAGATCCACAGCTTCTCATAGAATTTCCCCTGAATTTTCGACTTAATTGGGCCAACCCTTTGAACGCCAGCCGCATCAGCATTCACTTTGTAGATGCGGCTAATTGCACACGCCATATTCTCTATATCCCCTCCCCTTCTCGCTAGCCTAGTATAAGCTTTTCAAATTCCAACTCACAGTATGGCACAGCATAGTTTTTTTCCGACTAATTTGTTTTATAATATCAAAAAGCAACAAAAACGGGCTAAAGCCAAAGCAAACAGGCAAATTATAGTGCACAGAGCAGACAGCGCGGCGGGTGATGGTGATTCAGGGGCGGCATCAAGGGGTCTTTATTCTGGGCGGCTGAAAGGAGGGGGAGGGAACAGGGGACGGATGAGCGGCGTTGCGGTTAGCTGGCATTAAGCTTTCGCAATGCCTGACAGTTGAAACACAAACAAATACAAAAAAAACAATGGCGAGCGGAAAGGGAGCGGGAAAGGGCGGCGGAACTGCATTCGCGGCCAGCCAACATGGCGCTGCACACGTGTCTGTGTGAGCCTTGGCTTAGCTGTTTTGGCCTTTTTTGACAAATGTTCGCGCATTTTGCAGCTGGCAGCGGAAACAGGCACACTCTTCAAAAATGACTAACAATAGTTTTGCCTTTAAAAGTGAATAAATTTTATAAAAATCTATCATTTTTTTAATATTTTCTAAAATAAAAGCTTGGAAACCTCTTTTTTTGTTCTAAAAAATCACTTTTTCTGGTCCATTTCTAATTTTTGGTATTCATTTTTTATGAGTGCAGCAAACGGCAGCGCAGCGAGGTGCATTTCCATTTATTTTTAAACAGCTGCCTCTCTTTAAACAAGCTTAAATTTTGTATTTATGATTTTCGTTTACACCTCACCTGCGCCTCGGCTTTGCCTTATTTCCTTCGCGTGTCTTCGCTTAACTTTCTGCAAATTATTTTTAAACCAAAAGCCAAAAAAAAAAAAAAAAAAAATGAAAACCAAAAGCAGAGCAAGAGCAGCGCAGAAATATGGCAGAATTTAATTAAAATTCGTACAAGTGCCTTTGAGGGGCTCTGCAGCAACCTTGAGTCAACATTCACTCGCCACACCACACATAACACCACACAGACTCGAGCACCTCAGTGCCTCAGTACCTCAGCACCTCAGAAAGCTAAAAACTGAAAAGTGAACACTGAAAACAAGCAGCAATTGCTGCCTTTGGCACTTTGTACATAGACCATAAACCATCGACGTCAGCATCGCAGTCGTGTGTATTAATTTCACTCATATGGCTGTTAACCTTGAATTCTGATTAGGAAGCGATTTAAATTTATCTAAAAGTCGGTTTTTTTCTCTTTTCTTTTTTTTTTTTTTGTACTTTTTGTTGCCCGTTTGCCGCTCGCCTTTATTGAGTTATTATTAAAAGTTAATTGTGCTGCTAAAAGCCATTTGGTTCAGCTTCTCTCCTCTCCCCTTCCCTCCACCAACCACTGACGTTCTAAAGACCCCTTCCCGTAGATGTGTGCAATTTGCGGGGCATTAACAATTGCAAATGACTTGGCCAAAGTGTCGACATCTTGGCTGCGTTGGTAGGATTAGGCAAGCCCGGCGGACGAACAACGACGGGCACGGGGCGTATGAGTAATGACTGAGAAGCAAACCAGCTGGGCCACAAATGTAATTACACCTTAAGCAGAATAAATGACAGAGCAACTGGCTGACAGCCGGGCAGCCTACACCTCGAACCTCAAGAAACTGCAATCAATCGAAAGGCAAGCGGAAAAAACCAAAAGGGTTACAGTGTGAAAAATTGCCTCAAAATCTTGCTCAATCTTATCTTAACTCTTGTAAAATAGTAAAACGATTAGCTATTGGTCATTAATGCTGACTCATAAGTTATATATCAAAACTTGGACAAAGACAATATCGTGATATATATGAGAAGAAAAAACTGAAAGCTGACAAAGAGCCAAGGAATGTGCACCTTTTAGTTTGTCGTTAAAATATACTTTGAAAATTGTGCAATATTTTTAAACTAAAACGGCATTTAAACTTATCGCTAAAGCTGACAAATGGCACACGTCTTTTGCATTCAACAAGCCAAAGGAAATGGCTGCCGCAATCCGTCAAAAGTCAGCAAAAGTCAGTTGCAGGAGTGCCCAGAAATGCAAAAGTACAAACACATACCCATATGAATATAGCGAATCACCCGTGCGTGTGGGAGAAACGAACTCATAAATTTGTCATAATTGCTGAAAAATGTGACTAAGGCAAATGGAAAATGCAATAAAAATACAAATACGCAGTTAGCCTGGGCCGAGCTATTGGAAAAATGAATATATATATAGGATTTTACATATATAGTAGTTGGCTTTTCCACGGGGCTAGATCTGTGCCAAGTGCAAATGCAAACGGCAAACGGCAAACGGA